GCCGCTGAAGAGTTGCGCTTCTTTCTCTGCACAAAAAGGCAGGAGGGAAGGCCGGGCAGCAACCCCCCCCAGCCCCCCCGGGCCGTCCAGCCGTGCGGCCCGGCCTAACCCCGAGTGGGGGGGGGGGGGGGGGGGGGGGGCACTGGGGAACCACTGCCGCCTCAAAAATCAGAATCAAAATAATAATAATAATCTGCTTCTCGGCTCCTCATCCACCCAACCTCGCAGGGACGCGGCGCCTCGCCTGCCCTCCCCCCCCCCCCCTCCCCCAATCCCGGGCGCTGGTGCGGTGCCCCCCGGGCCGCTCCGCGCTCGCAGCCCCCCGATATCCGCCCCCCCCAGGGGCCGCTGTACCCCCCGATCCCGCCCGCACTGCCCCCCCCGAGCCGCGCTGCCGGAGATAGGGGTCCCGGCAAGGGGGGGGTGGGGGTGGGGGTGTGTGTTTAGGGACAGGGTGAGGAGCCGCGACGGGCAGGTGACACCCCCCTGCTCCCCACTCCGCACCCAACCCCCCCGCCACCGACACAGGCGAGGTCACGGGTTTAATTAAACGTGGCGCGTTCAAATCAACCCCCCTAAATTACGCCGTCCCGGAGAGCAGTAGCCGCAGGGTGCACTTACTCTGCAGGACCCCCCCCGCGACCGAGCACACCCCAAAACCACCGCCCGCACAGACTGATCCCCCCTCCTCAGGCGGGGATTTAATGCTGGACACTGCGAAGCCTCGGGGAAGAAAAATCCGCCCCCCCCCCCCCCCCCCCCCCTCCCCCGAAACCTACCCTTCTGAAGTGTTGCTCCATTCCCTTGTCACAGATCCACCTGTGAAAATGTGTCTAAAGTTAGTACTGGGATTTGCCCCTCTCTTAACTGGTTCAGGCTAAAATCTGAAGAGATCCCAGTTAACCCAGGAGGGTACAATAGCTTATTTTATACTGCAAAGCTGCTGTGCAGACTTTGTCCAAAGAATGTTTCACGCTTTACTTTGACAATCCCCGCAGAAAAGGGAGAGAGAGGAAACAAAGACTTATGATTACCATTAGTAATTTAATCCTAAATTCGTGGGCCATTCCCATCAGCCCGAACAAGCAAACATCAACACTTTTCTTTCTCATGCACATGTATCTGCGATAGATGATTAACCAGGTCCCTCGCTGCTTACACAGGGGAAAAATCCTGACAAACAGCACGGTGTCTGCTTGCAGTTTGGGAAATTAAAAATCAAGCGAGGGGAGGCAAGAATTAGGAAAGTGATGCCCTTTTCCTCCATCAGTGCCGGCTGCCAGTCATGGGTGATTTCGGTTTGGGTGTTCGTTTGTTAACAAAACTCCCACTTCTGACAACATATCCTACTAATGTTATGGGGTGAAAAAAGCTAATTCTGGGGGGAAAGTAGCAGTCAGCTACCAAAACCGAGAAGCGCTTCTCAGCGAACCAGTACCGTGGAAAATAGATACATATATATAACAGTCGTCTGATTTTTTATCAGTTGCCTAGACCTCCTGTTTCTAAGAATTGGGGATTGGGATGCCGGAATATGATTATTTTTCTAAATGTCACCCTCCCCCCGATTCCGGCAGAAGCTTTACCAAACCAAACACGTATAGGTATCTATAGACTCCAGTTTTAAGGGAGAGCTTTCAAATTTCGGTGGCTCAGGGACCGCCACCGCCCTGCCCTGGGCGGACACGCAGGATGGAGCTGATCTGAAATGACACTCTCATTTTCTTTGAACTCTTCCCGATTTTGGCCGGGAGTTTGCGAAAGGGAAGGGGGAGACAAGGGAGAGCGAGAAGAAGTCATTCTTTACTCGAAACTAACCTTCAAAAAACGGATCTTAAAAAATAGAAAAAATATATATATATTTCAAAATAAATCCGCTCGGTTAGCATCTTTCGGGTGTGGGGAGAAGGTCGTAATTAAACAAAAATTGCCCGGAAGACTTGGCGGGGAGGCGACCTGTGCCCCGGCGCTGCGATGCCGGGCAGGTGGGTGCCTCTTTCCACCCCCACCCCTCCCCGCCCCAACGGCGGTATTTTTCGTCCGCGGGCGCGGAGGGGACGGGAAATCCTCCCCGCAGAAGCTGGCAGCCTCCGGAGCCTCCGCTTTGCCCCGCGGAAGGTTTTAGGGTGCGGGCGGCCGCGTAGGGCCGGGGTGCGCGGAGCGTCCCCTGCGCGCAGCACCGCGCCCGCGGCCGCCCGGCTCCGCGGCTCGGCGGCTTGTTCCCGCGGAAGGGAAACTCCTAGGCGGGCTGATCAGCCCAGGAACCCTCTTCTGCTCCAGCAACCTTATTCCTTCCCCAATGCTTATTACAAAACTAGTTTGGAAGGAGGAACATCCCCCCTGACATACAAATCCCGGCGAGAATAACCTTTGGTGGCTGAATTAAAAGCTCTGCGGTAAACAAAACTGAGCTTTAACTGGGGATTCGGGGCACAAGGCGGTTCTTACTTTAGCCAGCCGAGTAATGCCGCAAGTTTTGCGGGATGTGTTTTGTTCAAGGGAGAGAGGCATGGAAGAGCAAAGAAACAGACCCAGACAGTGCCCCGAAATTATATGACGATGCGGATGGACGCGCAAAAGCGATCTGTAATTCACAGCTTAAAAGATTAAGAAAAGGGACAGCGCGTGTATGGACAGGGAGATAATCAGATCAGTGCTTCCTCCGCCTTTCAGTAGCTCCACCTTGTGAATATACCTCAGTAATTATGACAGGGAAAAGTAATATCCATCTAATGGTACATTTTGCAGGGCTGCATCTTAGCTTCCCAAGCTCTAACCAGGGTCCCCTTTCCCTCCCTGGTAGAGATAACGCTTAACGTGCAGGTAAAAATAATGCTCTTCCCAAGCAGCTCCCAGGACCTCATAAATAATTATTACAGCGGAGCCCCCCCGGAGGCTCTGGGCTCTCCCCAAGCCCCCAGTTGCCGGCCGAGCTCTGCCAGGGTGGCCAGGTCCCCGCGCCCGGCCGCGGCCCCTCCGCGGTGGGACACCGCGCACCCGCGGACTTCTCCGCCCTCTCTGTGCCTCGGGGCCGCTCGTTATCAGCAAAAAAGACGGCGATTTCCCAAATCTGGTACCGGTGGGAAACCAGCGGCGCGGTGCCCGTGCGGACCCCCGCGGCGGCGTTGCCCACGCGGGACTCAAGGCGCGGAGAGGGCCCGGGGAGGAGGGGGCATTTCCACGCGTGTCCTCCCACAGAGGAGCAGGGCGACCTGCGGAGGGAGGGCTGCGTGCTTCCCGAGAGCGCAGCCCCTCTTCAGCCAGGGTCGGGGTGCGGAGGCACCCGCTCACCCCACGGGGCGACAACGCGTGGGGGGCACCGGAGCTGAGCGCTCCCCGCCGCTGTGGACCGAGAGTTATGTCCCTCCAAATGTCGTGGGGAAAAACTCAAACGAGGCATTGCCACACGGAATGAAGCCCCGGAGCGCCTGTACTGCGAAGGGGGATGTCATCCAAATCCCCCTCCCTGGTTTCCACCTCCTCCCTCCAGCCCGCTGCCGGAGGAACCCCTAGAATATTTTTTTTTTTTTTGGGGGGGGGGGGAGGGACATGATTTTGCACGACTTTTGCCTCGGTCCTCTGCGCGGCCGCGGCTGGCTCCGCGGGGATGTGGAGGAGCGGCAGAAGCGGGGCCGGGCTGCCGGCATCGCCCCGGGTATAGCGCTCGGGTCCTGCAGGGAGGGACCGACGCCGGCGGGGCGGGGGGGTGTGTGTCACCGCTTGGGGACTTTGGCAGTGTTGTCCCAACTCCAGAAAGTCAGTTCCCTCCTAATTAATTTCGGAAAAGCAGTCAGTTCTTTAACTTTCTTTTTTTTAATTATTGTTCTTTTGACTAAATAAATTGAGGGGGTGGGGGGGATTTGGGAGATGCTGGGGTGCAGGAGGGGAGGCGCAGCTCCGGAGCGGCGCGGCCGGGCCGGGACCGCCGCAGCTCCGCTCCTGCTCCGCGTCTCTCCGCGTCGCTCCGCTCGGCTCCGCTCCTGCCCGCCTGTCCCCTTTTTTCCGGGTGTTCTTTGACCCGTGAAAAGTTGCTGTTATTCTCCAAACGGACACTTGGGGTCGCACTTTCTGTCTGTTTGAGCGTAAAAACAGTGTAAAAAGAAGCCCTAATCTCCCTTAATCGTTACAAAATGTTCAAAAAAAAAAATTCTGTTACCGGACCAAAAAAAAAAAAAAAAAAAGAAACTAAAAAACCTTACAAGCAAGCCGAGTACAGCAGAGGAAAGCAAACATGGTCCCTTCAGAACTGGAATGTAATTATATTTTCTCCCTTCTCTCCCCAATATTTGCAATTGTCTGTGTCAATGCCTTTGCTTTACTTTAGGGAGAGATTTGCTTCCTGGAGCCGGGAAGATTTCCCCGCTTGTATAAGGAGAGCTGACAGCCCTGCCGAGCCGGTGCTTCCCCCCTCCCGGCTCCCCGCGCATCCCCCCGGCCCGACGCGCGTCCGGGGCCGCTTTTGCCGCGGTACCTCCGCGTCGGGGACGCTTCTATCAAGTTGGAAGGAGCGAAGCGGGTGCGTGGGACGGGGGGGGGGGGGGAAAGGCTCCTGCCTTGAAATTTGCTACGGGACGGCAGCGGGCGAAAAAGACACTTTGTTATATTTAGAACAAAGGGACGGGCAGGATGTCCCCGAGCCTCCTCCTTTGTGGATTGCAGAGACCGAAAGGGAGACGGGGGAAATAAATAAATAAAAGAGGCGGCGGCGGTGCGGGAGGGGGGAACGCCCGGAGGAGCGGCGCTGGGAGCGGCGGCCGCTCAGCTGGCGCTGCGGAGCTGTCACGGCGCGGCCCCCGCCCCCGCCGCCCCCCCCGCCGCCGCCGCCGCCGCCGCCGCCCGCCCCGGCCCGGCCCGGCCCGGCCCCGCCGCCCGCCCCGCCCGGCCCCGCCGCCGCGCTGCCATTGGCGCGGCCGCCGCCGGCCCCGGCCCCCGCCGCTCTCTCGGCGGGCACGGCCGTATAAGAAGCCAAGGGGGGCTGCGCTGCGAATCACAGCTGCACCACGAGCGCTGGAGGCGGCAGCTACAGCGGAGACCTGGGTTTTTCTCGTCCCCCCTCTCCTCTTTTTTTTTTTTTTTTTTTTTTTTTTTCCCTTTCCTCCTCCTTCCTCCCCCTCTTCCCTCCCCTTCCCCTGCGCTGCCGGAGCCAGCGAAAACTCCCGTGCAAAGCTCAGCCACCGCCGCCAAATAGCCAGTGCGCTCCCCCGGCCGCCTGCTCGGACTGGAAAGTTGCGGCAGACTCCGGTGCTCTGCAACCGCGGGGAGAAGGCTCCGGACTTACAAAACCCAGCCGGGGGCACGGGCTAGACGTTTTGCACCGTTCTTCTTCCTGCAGAAGACCCGAAGGCAGCATCTTTGTTTTGTTTTGCTTTTGCCCTTCCTGCTACCGCTCTTTTCTCCTTGCGACCGGGTGTCCGAGTGCCAGGAGCTGCGGCAGCCCGCGGTGCGCTGCAAACGCTGATACAAAAAAGACAGGAGACACCCAGGCGGCCCCGGGTGCCGGCTCGTCCTTGGCTTTGTTGCTCCGGACTGAAGAAGCCCCAGAAGCCGGGAGAAAGAGGCGGCGGTGGAGGGGGAGCAGAGGGAAGGAAGCGAGGAAGCCGAGCCAAAGTTGATTTGGAATAAGGGAGCGCGGCCAGCCGTCTGCCAGGCTGCGCGCTGGAGTGAGGTCTCCAGCCCCCTCCGCCGGGAGAGGTGCCCGCAAGACAGCGATGGCCGGAGAGCTCAGCATCGGAGCCGAGCTGCCCACTAGCCCCCTGGCCATGGAGTACGTCAACGACTTCGACCTGATGAAGTTCGACGTGAAGAAGGAGCCGCTGGGCAGGAACGACCGCTCGGGCAGGCACTGCACCCGCCTGCAGCCGGCCGGCTCCGTCTCCTCCACCCCCATCAGCACTCCCTGCAGCTCCGTGCCCTCCTCGCCCAGCTTCAGCCCCACCGAGCAGAAGACCCACTTGGAGGACCTGTACTGGATGGCCAACAGCTACCAGCAGATGAACCCCGAGGCGCTGAACCTCACCCCAGAGGATGCTGTCGAAGCCCTCATCGGGTCCCATCAGGTGTCCCAGCAGCTGCAAGGCTTCGAGAGCTTCCGGGCCCACCACCACCACCATCACCACCATCACCAACACCACCACCAGTACCCCGCGGTCACTCATGAAGACCTGGCCGGCAGCGGGCACCCTCACCACCACCACCATCATCACCACCAGGCCTCTCCCACTCCCTCCACCTCCTCCAGCTCCTCCCAGCAGCTCCAGAACTCGCACCAGCAGCACCCCCCCTCCAGCAGCGTGGAGGACCGGTTCTCGGATGACCAGCTGGTCTCCATGTCCGTGAGGGAGCTCAACAGGCACCTCCGAGGCTTCACCAAAGACGAGGTGATCCGCCTCAAGCAGAAGAGGAGGACCTTGAAGAACAGGGGCTATGCCCAGTCCTGCAGGTATAAACGTGTCCAGCAGAAACACCACCTGGAGAACGAAAAGACCCAGCTCATTCAGCAGGTGGAACAGCTCAAGCAAGAAGTGACCCGGCTCGCCAGAGAGAGAGATGCCTACAAGCTCAAGTGTGAGAAACTTGCCAGCAATGGCTTCAGAGAGGCCGGTTCCACCAGTGACAACCCGTCTTCCCCCGAGTTCTTCATGTGAGTGCTTAACAAAAATAATTAAAAAAAAAAAAAAACAAAAAAAAACCCAAACAAAAAAACCCCACCCCCCCCAAACCTGACCCCCGTCACCTTCCCCTTGCTCCCATCCTCCTCTGACATCTCCATCCATCTGTCCGCTTGACTAGAGAGAAAGAAGGAGAGAAAAATAGAGACTTGATTTTTTTGCAGCATCCAGTCTTCTAGAGTAGCTGTGGGAAAAGTAGGCTGGGGGTGGGGACGGGAGAGGTAAAGTGCAACTTTTCGACTTTCGTTTGCGAGTTAGAGAGAAGGACAGAGGCAGAGGCAAAGGAGAAAAGGACAAGTGAAGCGTTTTATAGATCACTTGCTTGCAGAACGAGATGGACTTTAAGAGAATAATAATAAAAAAGGACAATGAACAAGCCATCTATAACATACTGCCTGCTTGGAAAGAGAGAGGACATATACAGCACCATCTCATGCACAATTTACCTGCTTGGAAAAAGAGAATAAATAAAAAGGACAATATATGCAAACTCTTCATATATTGCCTGCTTTGAGAAATAAGTTACAGGACTCAGATGGGACATTCAATCTAAGAAAGGAAAGAAAGAAAGAAAGAAAGAATGAAAGAAAAAAAAAAACTCATCAGTTTTATTGCCTGCTTGATTATATAGAAAAATACGAAAATCTGCATTAAAAATATTAATCCTGCATGCTGGACATGTATGGTAATAATTTCTATTTTGTACCATTTTCTTGTTTAACTATAGCATGTTGATCATCGATCATAGATTTCTGTTGTTTTGTTTCATCGATAAGAAAAGCATCACAAGTTATCAAACTTTTTACTGCTTGTGCAGTTTTGTTCGTTGGTTTTGCTCTCTTATTTTCTTTTATGGTTGTTAGCTTGTAAATATCTGCTACTTCAAACGGCACAGGAGAAAAAAAAAACCACAAAAACAAAATAACATTTCAGCAGGCTGGTTATACGGTTTGTTTGGTATTAAAGAGATACTTAAGGAAAAAAAAGTTATGGGCATTTTGCATTAGAAAAAAAAAACAACTCTGTATATCTGGTGCACTTTTAAGTTGTATTTTATTATTTTTTTTTTTTTTAGTTTTCATTTTGGTTTTTGTTGGAGCAGAAGCGAAAATGTCTGAATGGCATTGACAAACCTAAACTTAACAGGGAAAAACTCTCAGCGGTCACTAGAGCCTACTCCATGCTTTAAAGTGGCAGTGGAGCTCTTTCCTTCAGGACAAGTCCCAGCCTGGAGTGGTTAGGCTTGGCCATATAGTTTCCCTTCTGATTATACACTCAGGAAGCGAAGCACGGACGAGATACCAGTTTATTTTAAGAAACAACTGTCCCTTGATTTTCGGTAAATAAATAAATGAAATCCCAAACCATCAACAATAAAATAAAAAAAAAAAAACCAACCCAAAACAACAAACCCTCCTCCTTACGAGTCAAGTTGCAATAGCAGCGAGGGCACCGTGTCGCCACTGAAGTTAGGTTTCTCAATGGTAGCAGCAGATGAGTGAGCTGGAAAAGCATATAAAACTAAAACTTTTTTTTAAGGAGACATACTGCAACTTTTAAGTGTATTCTTTTGCAATGATTTGTAATCTGCTTCTCTGCTTCCCTATGCAGCGAGTGAAAGTTTTAGCCAAAATTTATTTGCAGTTGTATAGTAGTAGTAGTTTGGAGTCTTATGGGTGTTTTTATTACCTATTTTTTTTTTTTTCCTCCTGCAGGTCAGTAAAAGGATTTACGTTGCACTGACAAAAATACCAAAATGAAAACTTATTTTTTAGTTTCCTTTTAGGATAGCTGGCACTGCTGGCCGGATGCATTTTAAGTTTGTATTAGTTTATAAATTAACAGTAATAACAAGATTGTAATGAACAGCATGGTGCTTGCAGTTTTAAATATTGTGGATATTAGTCATGCATCAGAAAACGATCTTTGGTTTTTACTGATTCAACTGTGTTGAAATCAAAACATTGCAGCAGCGGAAAAAAAAATTGTTTTTATTTCATGTAAAGTTCTGAAGGGATCAATTTCAAATCCTGCTTATGATATGAAAAATATTAAAAAACCTGGTCTATTGTAGTTTTATTCAGACTGGTTTCTGTTTTTGGTTATTAAAATTGTTTCCTATTTTGCTTATTAAAATCATTGAAATGGCATTTCTTGGAGGGACCTGCTTCTCTGACGCCTCGTGTTCTGAAAAAAAGGGAAAAAAAAAAAAAAAAAAAAAAAGGAAGACTTTTGGACCCCTACCCACCCTCCCACGCCGCCCGGCTGCCAGGGGCTGCTCGGGGGGGGGGGGGTACGAAGCCGCTTTGCCCACTCGGGAACGCTGCCACAGGCTGGGTAGGAGCGCTCAGCCCTGCCACCTCCTCCCCTTTGGCCAAATCTCGGCCGTGGCAGGGGGTGAACATTTCCCTTCCCCCCCCCGCACTCCCCCCCGGGAGAAGCGGAGCGGCGGGAGCCCCACGCCGGGCCCGGCTGGGAGCAGGAGCCTGAGCCACCCCCGCGCTGCCAAAGAGGGGAAACGCTAAGCGCAGGCACATTTTCTTTTTTTTCTTTTTTTTTTTTTTTTTTTTTGCATTAGAAAAGGAGAGGACCTGGACAAGGCTGTCCTTTCCTCCCCCCCCCCCCCCCCCCCCCCCCCCCCCCCCCCCCCCGCTCCTTTGGGATCCGGGATGGCCATTCACTTTCCTCCTCTCCCTCTGCACGTTTTATTTGTTCTGACTTTTTTTTTTTTTTTTTTTTTTTAAGCTTAGAAGACTCCTTAGATGCGTGTGGCAAAGAGGACAGATCTCCCCCCGCTACCCCCCAGGGGCTCAGCACCTCGCAGCCCCACCATCCATCAGCTGCTTTCACAGGCAGATCATAGCGCAGCTCCCTAAATTGCAGCCAGAGGAGGTTAAAAATCATCCCCGGCCCCTCCCGGGTGCGGGAAAGGGACCCCCAGAGCCGGGTCGTAGCGTGTCTGTGGGCTGCTGCTCTCAAAGTGTGAAAACCGCGTTGAACTTTAAATCCCTCTTAAAAACAAAATCCAAAGCACCACACAATCAAAAATAATAGCCTCTCTCCGCCCTGCTCCTCTTCCCGACAGCAGCGAGCTGTCTTTGCAGGGACGGCAGAAAGTGCGTTTGGAGAACAAACCGGTTCCTTAACTGAGTTCCTTAACAGAGTGTGGGAAAAAAAAATGAAAAGCCAAGACAGTAACTTAAAAACAAAATCCCCTCTTAAATCCCAGCCGCATCCCTGCCTTGTCAGAGCCAGCTGGGCTGGGGGAGCTTGGAAGGGGCCGGGGCCCGTCCCAGCCCCCCGGCTACATGAGTCAGGCTCGGAGAACAAGCTCGTACCCTGCTGCCCTACGAAGGGGGGACAGGAGTTTGCAGAGGAAAGGGAGCAGAGAGCCTGGCTTTCCCTGTATAGCCTCCCCCCTTGCCAGTAAATGCTATGGCTGCAGAAAGCCTGAGAGGAATATTGTTTGTGGGAACTGCCACCGCATATTAATGTCCCCTCATGCATGCATTGAATAAATCACTAGGGCTAATTGAACAACAACAACAACAAAAAAATAGGAAAAACAGGCCTTAGAAAAGCCCTCCAGATTCCCACCGCAGAACCGTGTCAGCGGCGGGGCAGCCCCGCTGCAGCGCCCGGTCCCAGTCCGGAGGTTTAATTTATCCCATTTAAAAGACAAGAAAACTGCAACCAAGCACGGCCACGGCTGGGGCTGGGGGACTGGGACCAGCCGGCCCTGAGTGGGCCGAGCCCGACCCGGTGGGACGCTGCGGGGTCGCGGGCCGTGGGCTGCCTTCTCGCCCGTGGGCCGGGCTGGCTTCCTCCGACAGCCCAGCCGGCTCCGGAGGGGGCTCCGACATGCCGGGGGCGGGGGGGGCGAAAAAACCCACTCGAACTTGTGCTCGGCCCGGCCTGCGGCCGGACAGGGCTCTGCCCCGACGGGGGTCGGGGTGGGCAGGGTCTGCCTGCCCCCCCCCACCCTCTCCCCCGACCCCTCCAGGGCGTCCCCATCAGCGAAGGGTGACCCCCCTCCCGGCTTCGCTCGCGTGTTGCTATCCCCGCGTGTCGGCTTTGATCTCTCGCCGTTCACCACTGATCGATAAAGGGCTGGTGACAGAGGAGTCGGGGCCACGATGGAGAGCGGTTTCTGGAGGCCAAAGGGAAAAGGAGAACCTCCACTTTTCCTCCCCTGGGAGCGGGGGGGCTCTGCGGCTCAGCTCCCGGGGCTCCCTCCTTCCCACCCGGAGCGCTGCGGAGAAGCTGCGTGTCCGCTGAGGGGGATAAAGCATCTTCCCTCTCCAAACCCCTCTTCTTCCCCCTGCTTTGCGTGCACGTCCTCTGCCCGTCCTTCGAGCCACTTCTCCCCACGCACATCCCGGCCGGGGGCTGCGGACCCACTCCGCGCCCGGGAGGTGCAGGAGACCCGGGCAGCTCGGAGGAGGCTGGGAGGCTGTAACTGCTGTCGCGCATCGTGGGCAGTGCCCACGCATGACACAGGGCGGAGGGACCGAGAGCTGACTACCTCCAGCTTCGGCAACCTGCCAGGCGATCAGTCAATCGCCCTTGAGGCTCTCCGGAGAGAAGATGCTGCAATGTGCCACCCCCCCCCCCCCCCCAAAAAAAAAAAAGCTCGGTGTAGCTACGGAGCGGTCCCCACCCCGATCCGCTCCTTACAGCCTCGGGGAGGATGGGGTTGAGGTGACAACGAGACAGCACCGAACCCCGAGTGGGACCTGGCCCGGCCCGTGCGCCCCCGGCCGCAGCGGGGGGTCGGGGGCTCTGGGATGGAGGGGAGGGGGGGGGGGATCTGCCTTGCACGCCCCGGGGGGGTGCGGGTGTGGCGAGGAAGACCCCAAGGTCCGCACTGCTAAATTTGGCGGCCGGGCGACGGTTCACTACGTGCGGGAGGACCGTTCCCTTCGGTGAAAATGGTATTATTTAGTTTGATCTCGCAGTTTTGCAGGAGCTATTGCTATCAGCTGTAGCGAGAGCTGCGCCCCCCCCGCCGGGGCAGAGGTGACGACCGGCCCCGGCTGCTCCCAGAATTAAACGAGACGTTCAGACAGGAAACACAATTGGCAACACCCCCCTACACACACACACACACTCTTCCCCCATTTACTGACATAAAACTTACAGGCTATCTCTGCCAACCGTTTAATAAACTCTCTTCAGTATTCCCTTCCCTCCTCCCCTCCAGGAGAGTGTATAAAACTGATTGTCTTTAATTCCAGAAGAGAGAAATCTCCGGCTAAAAAGGCTTTTTGAACTAAAGATAGAAACATCATTCTAAGACTTTCCAGAGATGCTGAGCTCTCTTGCCGGCCGGCAGATGAGTTGCTGTGTTGGGGTGGGCAGGCGAGATGTGTTAGGAGGATGAGCCAGGGCTTGCGAGATAACTGTTCCCAGCTGGTTTAGGGTTGAATTTTTTTTTTTTTTTTTAAACATGCCGCCCCCCCCCCCCCCCCCCCGGGCTGGCGCAGTGCCCGCCCGGCTCTCGCAGGCTGGTTGGTGCCGGTGATTGACAGCCCGAGGTCAGGGAAGCTCTCGGGGGCTGCGGGTGTCGGGTTTCGGGCAGGGCAG